AGGCCCATATACAGCCTCAGAAGAATTCCTGCCAACAAACCTGATCTTGTGCTTTTTGATAAAGCCAATGAATTTATTTATGTCGTTGAATTTTCTGTCCCTTTTGCCACCAATGTGATTGGCAAGATTCAGGAAAAGCATGATAAATATGCGGACCTCGCCTTTGAAATGTCTCGCTTGCATCCAAAGTACACTGTCGTCAGGCTCCCCATTGTTCTCGGTGCCCTTGGTTTGGTACCTCCTGATCTCTTGGCGCAGATCAGGAGAGTGCCCGGGCTCTCCACCGGGAGTACAGCCCTTCTGACACTCTGGGTAATGCAGAAGGCTGCAGTGTTGGGGAGCCTTCGTATTCTCCGGAAAGTTTTTGGTGGGTTCGACTAGGCAGCGTTTCCTGGGAGAAGTCCCATTCGCTGTCTGGGCTGCGTGTAGAGGGGGCAAGGGCCCTGAGCTGATGATGAGCCTTACCAGCCTGACTGTGCCAGGATCACCTGAACCCTCTCTGCTGCATACAATTTTTAATCTGTAAAACATAATAATAGTAATAATTTTCTGTCCCTTTTGACACCAATGTGATTGACAAGATTCAGGAAAAGCATGATAAATATGCGGACCTCGCCTTTGAAATGTCTCGCTTGCATCCCAAGTACACTGTCGTCAGGCTCCCCATTGTTCTCGGTGCCCTTGGTTTGGTACCTCCTGATCTTTTGGCGCAGATCAGGAGAGTGCCCGGGTTCTCCACCGGGAGTACAGCTCTTCTGACACTCTGGGTAATGCAGAAGGCTGCAGTGTTGGGGAGCCTTCATATTCTCCGGAAAGTTCTTGGTGGGTTCGACTAGGCAGCGTTTCCTGGGAGATGTCCCATTCGCTGTCTGGGCTGCGTGTAGAGGGGGCGAGGGCCCTGAGCTGATAATGAGCCATACCAGCCTGACTGTGCCAGGATCACCCGAACCCGCTCTGCTGCATTTTCATCTTTAATCTGTAAAACATAATGTTAAAATTTGTATAGCGCCTGGTTTGCTCTAAGGCGCTTGGTCGAATGCTCTGTGGAAAAGAACTGTTTTTAGTTCTTTTTTGAATGGAATGATGTCTGACAGGTTTTTCAAGTTTTCAGGTAGTTGGTTCCATCACAGAGGACCTGCTTTGGCGAAAGCTCTATCGCCATAACTCGCTCTGTGGGTAGAGGGCACTACTGCTTGTTTTGAAGAGGCTGATCTCAGGGTTCGCGATGGCTTAAACCATGACACTAGTTCAGTCAGGTATTCTGGAGCTTGGTTGTGAGGGGCCTTGTGCACAAACACCAACACCTTGAAGACAATTCTTTGTCTAATTGGCAGCCAATGCAGTGTACGTAATGTTGGCGTGATGTGTTCATATTTGCCTGCACCAGTGATGAGTCTTGCTGCTGCATTTTGTTCTCTGTTGAGTTTGTTGAGGGTTTGCTGCGATATGTCAAACATCAGGAAATTCCAATCGTGAGATAACCAGTGCTTGGACTAATGACTGGATAGCTGATCTGCCAATGAAGTGCTTGATTTATATAGTGCTGCTCTGTAAATAATCAAGTCAGGGCCAAACAAAATATAGTGATCAACAGCATGAATTTCGATCCAACGTAACAGGGATACGATGACGTGTGTCACCCAAGTCAGCGAGCCTGACTATCTGATCCCGTTGGTCGCCTCTTACCAGAAGCATGGGTTACTGAAGATCAATATTCTAACCAGGTCTTATCATCATGCTATGTCATAGTCATTATGGGCAGTTGGCATTTCATCAGTGTCATAGGTTGATGGACTTGAGTATAATTGTAATATTATATAGAGTTAATGTGAAATAATGATGCAGAAGACAGTTTTACTTATTTAGAAAAAGTTATAATTACCAACATTAAAAAAAACTGCAGCATACAGTTATAGAATATACTTAAAAATAGTTCAGATATACAAAGCATACATAAAATATGCTTTATTTGCCAGTTTTAAAGAAATGTCATGTGTGATACTATTTATGTTGTTAATGCTTCCAAAAATGCATTGTATTTGTAAGTTAATGCTGCATACATTTAACCTTACCCATTCAGATTTTTGTAATGCTTTTACATCTTAACAGAAAGATTATACAGAGGTAAAATGAATATTCTCACTTTATCATTTGCATAATTTTAAAGTAACTGTCCCGACTGTCAGATACCATATTCTATTATAATGTCAAATTAGATTAGAATGTGCCTTTATTTCTTACAATTGTACGGGAGCCTAATGCTGCCACTTTAAGCATACAATATTTTTTCAGCGATTTTTCGCGTCACCTCGATTATCTGTTCTACGGTTGGGAATGCTTTCTCGTTACTTGGATTAATTTCTCGTTGCGTGGTGAATTTTCTTGTCATTTGAAATGTTTTCTTGAAATTTCGAGTATTCGTTCAATGAATTGCTAGTTGCTTTGGGTATATTGTTGTTACTTTGGGTTTCTTTCAAAAACTCGAAATTTCACGTTTTGGAAAGAACCTTGTAACAACGAGAAAATAATCGAAGCAGCGAGAAAATACAGGAAATTTCACGTTTTTAAAAGAAACTTGAAGTAAAGAGAAAGTAATCGAAGCAACGAGAAATTGATCGAAGCAACAAGTAAATACTTGCAATTTAATTTTTTTTAAAGAATCTTGATGCAACGATAAAACACTCGAAGCAACGAGAAAATACTGGAAATTACGAGAACATACACACCGATAAAAATCGAAACGAGAAATTTCGTTAAAGAAATATGTTATGCCACAAAAGTGGCAGTATTAGGCTTTCATTCAACTGTACGGCAGCGAATATAAGTCAATAAATGTTTGCTTACGTAGATGCTAACATTTATGCAAAACACTACCCATGAAGCTACGTTTGGGCTTATAATGACAGGACAAACTACAAGTACGGGAATATTTCATTTGAAACCTCCGGCTGACGCCGTCGGTTCCAAATGAATTCCCGTGCTTCAAATACTCAATAACGCACGGAAATTGGCCAACACATGATGTTTATCTCCTAAATACAATTCATACGTTTCACCTATTTATTAACCTTTTAATTTATGAAATATCACCCAAATTCGTTGATTCGGAAGTTCCACTATCAATAATTATTTGAATAGTTACTTTGCAACAGATAATTTTACTTATCATCCAAAACTGTGCTCCACAGGAGATAGTGCTTGTGTGAGATTAGACGATATCTCCTAGGAGATATCATTTTGACAGTAGTTTTTGTACAATGACCTGACGTTATGAAATTGATGACGTCACAATGCTATGACATCGCTGCACTGCAGTCTAATGGCAGTACCATGTTCAGTGATGTACATTTTTCACTGAAAACTAATGAAGAGTGATTTTTTATGATAGATAGAATCTCACCCTCGTGTCTTCTGATATCAAATATATCAACACTCGTTGATAAAAGTAAAAATATCCTCGGCAAGGCTCGGTTATTTGTAACTTTATCAACTCGTGGTGATATATTTGATATCAAAAGACACTCGGGTGAGATTCTCTATTTATAGCAATATATTTTCACAGAAGGTCTTTGACAACTACATTTTTCAGAAAATATTATTCGCCGCGATTGGTTTCAGTACAAACCTTTTTCGCTTCTTGCTAATTATCTTTATTTGAGGAAAAAATTGTTCAAAAGAGAATAAAAACATTGAGAGTTTGATGCTGTCATCACGTCTCTGCTTAATGATTGCAAAGCTATGTTTGGCTTGTTTCCTGACTTTGTACATATATTAATTCTGACTTTAAACATATCATGTTTTAGCATGTGGATATAGCCCCTAAGCTATATTTAACTGCATTTACTAATGTATTGATATACACCGAGTTGCGGTCTATGTTGACAACTGTTGGTTTACTTGGCAACAATGCTATTTGTACCTTTGAATAGGTTGCTAAAACATGATCTTAATTAATGTATCCTTTTTGGAAGAGCCATAACATTATTTCCCCAGTTTGTCTTTGTGGATTTTTTACACTCAATCATGATTCATTGACGACTGACTATGTGTAAGTACTTGGTTGTTATCTCCCTGGGTTAATTTAATATTACATCAAGGTCAACTGTTATACAATGTAAAGTTACGCACAAATCCATCAAAGTTAATGATCCAATGTATCACACTTCTAACCAATATTTGAGAGGACAAGATTATATGATATATGCCCCTCACAAAACAACACACATTTGTACTCTCATTACATTTTCATTATTGAAATTGCATATTATGGAATGATGCAACAAAAAAGTGAAACGTATGTTCACACGATTGAAAAAATGTAATTAAATGATATTCAGAAATAGTAGACTTTCAAATCATCAAAAGCATGTGCCCGTACCGCTTGAAACAGTCGTGCAAAATGTTTCACAGGAGTTACCTCCCTTTTGTTATGATTAGTTTGATGTAAGTGTGTAGCATTTCAAAATATTTTGTATCAATCAGCTGTTTTATGAATATATCTAATTCATAAATTTTGGGACAAGAAATAGTAAATGTGTCCAATGATTATTAAATGTTATACAACATAATAAGTGAGGCAGAGTCGCTGTTGGGTTGCCTAATAGTTAAAGTGTTCACTTCGATTCACCAATGTATGAAGGTCATTTCTGGTATCCCTCTCCGTGATATTTCTGGAATATCCGCAAAAGTGACGTAAAACCATACCCACTTATTCTCAATTGATGGAATAAGTCGCTGTACGTTGGATGACGTCATTCGACCTTGACCATCGATTTGCCAGCACTGGAGAAGGCCATTTTGTTAGATATTCAAACGTTGATTGCGAGAGTTTCGTGTTTATTTGCACTCAAATAATAACAGTACATTGATTGGTGTTGACGCTTTCATGGATGTTCAGATCACTGTTATTTAATAGTGAGTGGAATTTAATCCGCAAAAAAACATTATCTACATTTTATTGGTAGATAACAATCAGTGGATGAGTCGGTCCTCAGTACCCTTCCAATGAATCCTAATGGCGTTATCCCCACAACCTCACAGGAGGTGGGCTCGCAGCTCGACCAATCACACAGCATCCCACCCGTGGTCCCGAGTTGCCACTAGCGACACTTCCGGCGTTACCACCTCGGCCAAGGTCGTCAGTTCCTGCGTGTATCTGGAAAAGGTAGAAAAACTGACGTTTTAGATCTTCAGAATGAAACAATATGGTACAAGCATCGCAATTCATGTTCTTTCATGGAAAGGAGCGGTGGGTTAGCCTAATGGTTAAAGTGTCCGCTCATCACGCAGAAGACCCGGGTTCGATTCCCCACATGGGTACAGTGTGTGAATCCCATCTCTGGTGTCCCCCGCCGTGATATTGCTGGAACAATGCTAAATGTGGCGTAAAACCATACTCTGTCACTCTTTTTTCAAATTGTATGTGGGGAGGGGGATGTCGGGGACCGTAGTCGTTAGAGCTGCATCACCGAGACAGTAAGGCCATTCGTGTTCTGTTATGAAATCCGGGAGAAATTCTGAGTTTGAAATAAAACTATGCTCATTCGCTCACCGAACACTTCTAGTGTTGTGAGTCGTATTGTGTCTCAGTAACTTTTAAAGCAAAAGGTCAAAATGATTTAGAGAATTTAACTTCACTCCATTGTGCGGCGTGAATGAATATTCGTATTCTTATGAAAATAATTCGTCTTTTCTCAGCAAGCCATGCCTGTCGCAAGGATCGACTCAACGAAACCGGGTGGTCAAACTGCCGACTTGGTAGACGCATGTGATCGTATATCAGTTGAGTAGATGGACTCTTGTGACATCAGTCACTGGACTGTCCAGTCTAGGCCCGACAAACGAGTAAACAAACAAGACAAAAGGCTCACGCAAAGAGATGCAAGGAAAGGTAATGTTGTATTTTGTTCACTCCTACAGTAGAAGCTGGTTCAGTTTGACTCAGCCGGCTCTCCTGTTGACTGGAAGTCATCGAAGCCGAGCTGGGCTGGAAGCTGAGCTAGATATCGGCGCTATACCAAATGTATGTATGTATGTATGTATGTGTGTGTGTGTGTGCGTGCTTGTGTGCGTGCGTGCGTGCGTGCGTGCGTGTGCGTGCGTGCGTGCGTGCGTGCATGTCTGTCTGTATGTATGTCATAGCGTAGAACCCAAGAACAGAGTATCCAGGTGCAATATAGACATGCTCCTCAGCAGAGAGAATGATAGTCTCAAAAGTGTAAGGTTCACATGATCATTGTCGCTGGTTCGAACCCTCGTCGTATTGTTAAGTATCATTGCAATCAGTGAAAGTTTCACATACCACAAGACTTCTTCCGATGAGAGAGTTCGGCCCGAACAATCTTGCCACATTGTCAATGATGGTGGTGTTGACGCTTCCGTCAGCTGCTTCCTGGATGTTGCCAAAGTCACCAACATGCCTGGCACAAAAAGGAAATCGAATGGAATGGAATGGAAGTATAGACAATTGACACAACACAGCAAACAACATATGAAATCGAAATTGATTTAAAGAAAAAAAGATTAGAAGTAGAACAGAAATTAAAAACAGAAACACACAGGCCAAACATAAAGAAATGTAATAACCGATTTAAGTGTACATACGCCGATTAAGCTTGAACATAGATGGAGGAAATTCGACACAGGGATGAACATACGTATTGTTGTCATTGTCAGCATACTTTATTTCACTCACTGCACATGTGTGTACACAAGGGGGCGTACAGGTCAGTGCCTAGTGACATCAACCCTTGTAGCCGTCGCTGGATGTGATTGCACAAGTCGTCGGATTTTTGCGTGGGGAACTCTCTGCCGTTCCTCCTGCAACGCTTTTGTAAGTTCTGCACGTGTCTTAGAACGACGGTAACGCTTTATCGTGTTGAAACAGCTCCCTCTGGCGGTTAAAAGGTGGGAGGAGCTGAGGTCGCAGGATTTTGACGATGTAGCGATTTGCTGTAAGATTGCCTTTAACCACCACTAGCTCTGATCTACGAGTGTAGGACATGGCTCAACCAAATCTGTCCACCTGTCGAACGCAGTTCGGCGCAAAACGTTCGTGTCGACGTCAATAGACACGTTGTCTCCCATCACGTCGTTGCAGGGGGACACGCGATTCATCACTGAACCATACACGTCGCCAGTTCCCCAGGTTTCATGCCTGTGCCCTGTTGTCGGTGTAGTCGTGTCAGGGCTCGAATTCCCACTTTTCTCAGACGATTTCTGATGGTTTGGTCAGAAATTCTTCGAAGACCAGGTACTTATCCTGCAGTGTCCGTTGCTATAGCAAATCGGTGACATAGGTAAGACACCCGGATGAATCGGTGCTGAGCAGGAGTGGTCACTCATGGTCTTTCACTTCTGGGACGACCTTGGGTCGATTTAAAGCGGGTATATCGATGCCATAATCGAGATTTGGTGCTGTGGTGCACATTGTAGTATCTTGCAACGGCAGATTAGGACTGCTTCCAAACGTTCAATGGCGATATTTCAGTCAGTAGCCTTCAGTCTTGGCATTTGTTTTCTTCGTTTACGTCGTAAACTTCGTAATGAGATGATGAATTTGGTTTGGCCGTTTATAATCCATGTCTCTACTCTTGAACTGCTTGAGAGGCATTCTAGAAGTTGTAAGCAATAGGAATGACAAGTGTTTATGGATGATCAACTTCTTTATACTGTACAATTCCGACGCTTCGGTATAGATGCGTATACCGTTTTCAAGCATGCTTTCGACACATTGCACGTGCATTACCTGGAAAAACATTTCTGGACTTTCATGTAGCGTTTCATTTTAATGACAAACTTTTACAAACACATTTTGGGACCACGACATGCTGAACGGAATTCAAACATAGGAATTGTCTAAATGACTATTTAGTCGAAATGAACTGCTGAACTGAAATGAACTACTGAAAAAGAAGTAAAATAGAAATAGGATCAACGAAAAAGTAAAATACGAATAAATTTGGCGAAAATAACAGAAGAGATTACAACAAATTACAACAGAATGAATATTAGAAAGAGAATAGATGCAATGTACATGAACATGACACAGATATAGAATCGACATATTTTGTGGATAAAATACACCTGAAACAGAAATGTAATAAGAATTGTGAAATGTAAAGTCAGTAAAATTACAACAATATAAGACCAGATGAGAAAAAGAACAAAAAAACATAGTGGATAGAAATGATAAAAACATATAAAGAGACTCTGAATAAGTTAATATCAAGTAGAAATATACAGCCATATAGTACTACAACAGGCATATACAAATTAAACAGAAATAAATCAGAAATAGAATAAAGATGGAAAGATACGAGGAAAATCTCATACGTTACCCTGAGCTCGAATAGACAAAATTGTGGGCATCCCAGGGGTCGATGCATTAACCGTTTTAGCTTAAATTGACCTGATTCAATGAAACCTATGGTTGCAATTAAGCCATAAAATCAAAAATAGAAAATGAAAAATAGAAATAAAAGTAGTCGAAATACAAGTTTAACAGAAAAAGAATAGAAATTCAGTATGTGGTGGTAGAGGGAGAAATCAATGAAAACCAATTAGTTACTCCAACCTTGTATACTATGTAGGCATACGAATGGTCATTCTTAATATTTTTGAATTGTCGATGTAGGAACCGTTTAAGCCAATAAATATGACTTAATTCAATGAATCTATATTTCATTAAATCCATAAAAGCTGACACTTCAAGTAACCTTTCTGTGCTAGTACGATCTCCATGATTCCTTCCAAACGGGTTGTAGTGGCCCCCAAGGCTTGTACAACCATTACTGAGATCTCCGAGTTCATGTGCGTGAAAGCCGTGTAGAACAACTGTGTCGTCTGTCGAGAATCCTTGGAGTTCAAGCTTGATTGTAAGGCCCGAACATCTAAATCCACAAAACTGAAACAGATTGAGCACAACAGGTCTTTAAACGAATACAACAGGTCTTTAAATCAATCTCAACAATATAAATAAGGCAGACACCAAGAGTAGATTTCACACACCACACTCTGGATACCATAACACTGTGTTTAATATGCTTAATAGCGCTCAAGTTAGATATTTCTAGCTCCACAGTTGTTTTTAAATGTGTTCAGGATCATTTCAAATCCCGAACAGGGCGATGTTTTTTCGTGGTTAAAATCTAAACATGTGAAATATTTCACCACACAATCCCAACACCCATAAAATTAATGCATGTCCATGCTTAACTTCACATCATAGGCAAATTTATTCACTCGAAACTACTTGTATACTCCTCAGAAATGGAAATCGGAAACACAGTGGTCAACTGGTCAGAGTATACATATGGTGCTTTGAGCTTGGTTTATGGATGTGGCGTATTATCAAGGAAAAGAAGAGGATGCAGAAGAAGAAGAAAATGGCAAATGGTAAAAGAAAGAAATCCAATCAGTAGGATATTCGTGTAGGTGATCTTAATTTCACTCTTTAAAAAAGTAGGGAGATATATCTGAGTAACTCAATGTTGATATGATAATAAAGAATGTTTTGAGAGTGCAACACCACTTCCTTATGGTCCTAGTTGTTTGTACAGCAATCGCTCTTTAAAGATGATTGGTGTATGACGTGAAATTTTCATGTGTACGATTTTCACTTTCAAACCAAAAAACAACCGGCTAGGAACAATCACTAACAACTGTGTGATGTAAGATGATTGGTGTATGACGTGAAACAATCACTAACAACTGTGTGATGTAAGATGATTGGTGTATGACGTGAAACAATCACTAACAACTGTGTGATGTAAGATGATTGGTGTATGACGCGAAACAATCACTAACAACTGTGTTGAAGATGATTGTGACAATTTATGGTCTATCATAATTAGTGATTTATAGACCTTCTTGAAAACCGTCAAAATCAGGAATGACACCTAAAGCACGTGTATGGGTCTACTGCGTTGTGCACGTGCATCCCATGCGTTGTGTTTAGGTGTGGTGATAAAGAGAAATGGTGGTGCGTTCATAAGATGTCTCTGAAAAGTTCATTAACGCTTATACTTCCTAACCAAATTGAACGTTCAGGTTCTCCTACGTTTTTAAAGAATATATATGCTCTGAGAAAACAACATACAGAAATATCAAATACTTCAAGCTATACATAGAATATGGTTTCAAAATAATCCCCAACTTTTTAACAAACTAGGACGACAGAGTATTTACATTGGTTTGTGAAAGCCTTATTATCCCGCTCACTGGGTTGACGGTACCCGGATCTGCTGCCACTCTGCACACAGCGTTCACTGAAATATACACGCAAATAAATCTGTATTGAAACTTCAGTGCAACCTTCTAAGCACATCTCGTTTCTCAAGTATATTATTCATATTCGGTATGATGTAGCTAAAATATTTCGGACTAGGGTCAAACAGTTTACACCCATTCTCTGTAGTTTTAACCGTGTCAACTTCTACAAGTCGATATTTTGTAAACTGTAAAACTCTGATATAGTTGGTTGTTAGTTTGTTGTTTAACGCCACACTCAGCACTATTCCAGCTATATGGCGACGATCTGTAAATAATCTATTCTGGACCAGACAATCCAGTGATCAACAGCATGATCATTGATCTACGCAATTGGGTTACGATGACATGTGTCAACCAAGTCAGCGAGCCTAACCACCATTTGGTCATTTGATCTTTTGGGTCAAAGTTATGTCGTATTAACTACCAATAAACAAAACCGGTAAGCAAATCGTTATTCATAAATTCGATAAAACATGATAGATAAAAGGAATTTACACTGACATAGAGAGGCTGATGCTATTAAATACTTTATTGTACACGATTTAATATTATTACCACATGCCTACATACATAGGTATAACCTGCTATAGGTATAGTGACTGCTATACGGGGTTAGCCTGCCGACAGCTAATATAACATGAGTGAGTAAGTTATTATTTTCCGTCGCTGTTAGCAATATTCCAGCAATATCAGGGCGGGAAACACCAGAAATAGGCTTCACACAGTGTACCTATGTTGGAATCGAACCCGGGCCTTCGGCGTAACCAGCAAATGCTTTAACCACTAGGCTACCCCGCCGCCCCTTGTAAAATATGAAGAATCATTAGTCCCACATAGTCCCATAGAACTGATGACGTTAAATATACTGTGACAACATTCCTTGTGACGAAAAAGGGCACATTTTATTGTCCGTTCTTTGACCTTTCGAAAGCCCAGTGGACTCCCCGTCGTGCACCGTTGAGAACTTTCCAACACGTATACAGTGAATCAGAGGTGATTCGATTTCAAGCTTACTGTTGTGCTTAGACGGATTTTCAAACTATACTAAGCAGGAAAAGAAACGTTAGTTTGGAATTTTCCGTCACAGAAACAGATACCTGTAAAGTCATTGAATGTTTTGATTGTATATTTTGGACAGCATCTCCCAACTTTACCTGAGCAAACACATTCCTTCCCAAACTCAGAATGGAACCCAGGAAATGGTCTCAAAAACGCAACCTGATCTCGGAGATGGTACGGTGTTCTCCATGTTTTTCATGCAACTCATGCTGCACGTGCTGTTCACAAGGACCAGTCCTTTAAAATGCACCCCAAAACATGGTTGCAACATTCACATTATAACGTTAGCAGGATGCCGCGACTCACGACAGCTCAGAGGAACCAGGCGCTAGGAAGACTTGAAGCTGGCCACACTGCACAAGCCATTGCCAATCACTTCCAGGTCAACGTTCGGACCATCTACAGGCTGCAGCAACGTTTCCGGGCCACCAACACCACAAATGATCGCCCCCCGTACTGGCAGACCAAGGGTGACCACAAGACGATAAGGTCGCCATGTTGTGCGACAGCATGTACTGAATCCCCTCATGCAGGCATCCGAAACAGCACGCCAGACAGTGGGAACACACGGAAGACCAATCAGTACTGATACAGTACGCCGACGTCTTAACAGCGGGAACCTCCATTGCCGTAGACCTTACCGTGGACCTATCCTCACCCATCGTCATCGGCGTGAATGTCTACAGTTTGCCCTACAACACCACAACTGGCGATACAGGCAATGGTGAACTGTTCTGTTCACAGATGAGAGTCGGTACTGCGTATCAATTGCAGATGGCAGTACAAGAATATGGCGACGACGTGGCCAGCGTTACTCAGACCAATGTGTTATGGAAATAGACTCATTGGGAGGTGCAAGCATCATGGTATGGGGTGGAATAGGCCTGAACCAGAGAGTGGGTCCTGTGGTGTTCCACAACCTTGGTCCAGGGAGAGGAGGTGGCATCACAGCGGTGCGCTACATCGACCAAGCTCTCAGACCCCACGTCATACCACATTTCGGACGTCACCGGAGCAACATTTTCCATCATGATAACGCCAAGGCCCATACTGCCAGAGCTACACGGGACTTCCTACATCAGAACGGTGTCAGCATTATGCAGTGACCAGCCCTGAGTTAAACCCAATTGAACATCTTAGGGATGAAATTCAGAGGAGACTGAAAAATGTCATACCAAGGCCGAACATAGTCGATTTATTGCGCCAGGCCTTTCTCAGAGTATGGTTGCAGGTGCCAGTGGCCTTCATCAATCGATTGGTGCACCCCATGCATAGACACTGTGCTGCAGTTATTGCCGCTCGTGGTCGTCACACTAGATACTGAAGTCAAGAGTCTGAATGGACTGCAAACGTTCACGTAATGTCTTGAATTTGTGCTGAGTTATTCATTGATGCGTCAAGATATTGTACACAGAACATGCTTTTTATCCTCTTATTATGTTTATTTCTGCAATGATTTCATTACAGTGCCTATCTAATTTTGTATTCGCACTGACGTTGTTGTTTTTAGCTGCTGAGTATATTTTAAATTCAACGTGGGAATCCGACGCGGTTGTATATTAAGCCCTTTAATCTTCATAATCATAACTAAAGCAATCAAGCTGGAGAAGAAGAAATGACCTAAGGCGTATGCACGTGACGAGATCTTTCTTCTAATATGGCTCTAACGTTTGAGGATAGTCTTCAGCAGTATCAAGCTCTAGAAACCATCTCCAGAAGAATAGTACCATTGTTACATTGTGACAAAATGAGAGTACAATTGATAGCAATCTTAAGAAGATTGTGTTTAGTATGGTGGACCACTGGGACAGAATGGAGAATTGTATTTGTAAATGATGTTTCAGGGCAGCCCGATAGTACCTCTGATTAAATACAAATATATCTGAAATATTTGCCTCGGCAATTGTCTCCTCTGTAGTCACTTATTCGATCTTCCATCAGACCAACTCACTGTTATTACAGCAACCCTCGTGAGATGACCACTTTATTGACGCCTTGGGAGTAACTTTAGCTGACAGAGGACAGATACATTTATCACAATGCCTTACTTTGGTTCATTGCAAGTCATATTTGCTGGAATTTGACGTTTTGCGCCAGATGCGTCACTTCATATCTAAATGAGCGTATGGCGCAAGGACGAGGCCCAAAAAATTATCCCTGCACTGTTATTGTGCGAGACTGTTAAAAGTGCCTTCATACAGAATTTCCAGGAAAAAGAAACTGAAAATTTCGAAAAACATGAGAAAACTGAATTGGGCAAAGGTTGCAAACAATCATTACAGTAAAACATGGATATAGCGAACACGAATATAGCGTACAAACGGATAAAGCGAACAAATTTAAAAGTCCCGTCAAGAGTCCTTTATAATATCATTAAAATTATACGCGAATAACGAACTCGTGAGTAGCGAATTAACGGCTATAGCGAACTGATTTACTACCCCCAAGACCCAATTAACAACGTGATTAGCGAACTCACTCAGTGTCAGCTCAGTGTCAGCTCAGCCACTTAGCGGTATACATCAAGCGGAAAAGAGTATGACGAGACAAAAACGTAAGATCCTGATGTTTGTAGACAATTGTCCTGCCCATCCTGTTGTGAAACACCGGACACACGTCAAACTGGTCTTCCTTCCACCGAACACTACGTGTTATGTCAATTTACATGTACAAGAATAAAGATTTGTAGCCTCAGCATATACATGTCTTTACATCTCTACAATCCAAGATGGCGGTCAAATGTGAATAACGAACAACGGATATAGCGAACTAAATTTCTTGGTCCCTTGGAGTTCGTTATGTCCGTGTTCTACTGTATTTAAGAATTTATATGCCTGTTTTGAATGATCAGTGTGCAGATCATGTCACTAACTAAAGGATATGTCTTAACACAAATAGGCTCAATCTTAAATGCATAATAAATGTACCAATGTACATTTCTTTAACCGTATCAAGGGTCGATGGGGTACACTCGTGGTTAAAACGTTCGCTCGTCAGGTCGAAGGCCATTGTTTGATTCCTGACAGGGGCACAATTAGGCTAACTATAGTCTCTGAAAAGATATTTTGATAAAACGCAAAGGACTTCATTTATATTGAAAAGTATGCCCCGTAATTTGTGAGACTCATAGACTAAGAACATCTGCATTGGGGCTACACGTGACAGGGTCATCCTCAGTTAACAAAAACCGCATTCTACAAACGTCATTTACTGTCTAAATGACAGTATGTTAATTATTATCTTGCCAAACTCAGTCTTCCCATTTCCTCACAGTATTTACTTACAAGTCTCTCTCTCTCTCTCTCTCTCTCTCTCTCTCTCTCTCTCTCTCTCTCTCTCTCTCTCTCTCTCTCTCTCTCTCTCTCTCTCTCTACTGCTCTTCTCTATCTCTTCTCTCTCTCTCAGTAGATTACTCTACTCTACTGCTGTTACTATTCTTACCTGTTGCATGTACGCATCCTCGGTGAAAAGGGAAACGCCAATGGCGAGCATCTACAGCCGTGTAACTAATACCTATTAACACTACAAGTAGGATGCCGGTCGACCTCATGCTCGGTGCCAGAGACATCATCTTCGCTAAGTGATCAGACTGTTCCGATCGCCACTCGATTATATGACTCATTTTGTCATCCGGGTAACTGAACTACATTACAAGCTGGCGTATTTGACCAGCTCGATATTGCTGCAGTATATTTCAAAACATTTCAAGTATAGATTTTTGAAATAGCTATTTAATTCGCCAATTTTACATAGATTTAAACTTAATGCTGGCTCTCAGTGATATTACAGCTATATGGCGGCGGTCTGTCAATAATTGAGACTGGACCAGAAAATCCAATGATCAACATCATGAACATCGATCTACGCAATTAGGGTACCCTGACCATCCGATCCCGTTAGTCGACTCGTACGACAAGCATATGGGTTGCTGAAGACC